CTTTTTTGACAAATTATGAGCGGTATTGTACTTCTCAAACAGGAACAACACTTCGACTAACCTTCCTTCCCTTGTGAGTAATCAAAAGAACAACCTCTGATAACCCTTCAACAAAACCGCATTTCAAATTTTGAAGTGTTCATGGAAAAGTGAACTTAACTTCTAAAAGTTCTTCATTGGAAAATTAAGGATCTTCAAGACATGTCAATAAACATTTTTGCACCTTGATTTCAAAATTTGTAACAGAAAAACTGTATGATCTCTTATTCATTTATTCTTGTAATTGTTTGTGGATTTTCAAAAATTTTGCGGTGTAGTTTTGTATTAGACTGCATGGTCCTCAATGAAATAGGGCATTTCTCTCCTGTTCAATATAATACAGATATCGAGGATATCATGTTATCATTGTACTTAATTCAATTGACCTACCCTGCCTTATTTAGCTCGCTTAACATCACTAAAGGAAAGTTATATCGACAGAGTTTTCTTACCGTCATATCCGTGACATTTTCCTGTAAGTTCTCGTTCGTTCTTCAACATAAAAGCGAGAAGAAATTCACCATGATTTTATATTTATATTTATATAAAATACATCGAACAAGCGATGTGCTATTATACAATCGTAACTAATAAACGAATTAACTGCACTTAATCAAACTAATGGGAGAAAAAATGCAAAATTGATTAAATTATAGCTTTCGCACAGTATCGCCCGGCAGTGATCTAAAATCTCTAAAATTCAAGAGGACAGGAGATGAGAGCGAAAACTGTAATTATGCGAACATATATTGTAATGTGAGAAATATCACATAGGATGGATTTTTTGATGGATGGGTTTTTAAATGATTGGTCATGGTTTCGAATTGAAAGATGCAATACTTTGTCAGAAGCTTTGATCTCATGATCAAGGATAATGGTTAGTAGATTATATTGCTCAAAAACAACGGAGATATTAGGTCGTTCCAAAAGTAATGTCGCTTTTTTCAAGTGAACGCTACAATTCGTGGAAACAAGATTTCTAAGAGATCTTGATAGCATTCGATGCAGCATTTCATCCTCTTTCTAATGGTTGTAATTGCATAATCTTATATATAAAGCTGAATGTCTGTTTGTCTGTCTGTATGTCTGTATGTCTGTATGTCTGTCTGTCTGTATGTGTGTACGTATGTTCCGAATAGAAAAATCCATTTCTGAACCGATCGGGACCAAACTTAGCACACATACACTTCGGGCCCCGGCGGGTGCCATAGGCTACTAAGACGTGCA